CTATTACACTTAGCACTTACACAATATGTAAAAGTGGCCTCAAAAAGAAAGGCAAATTCAAATCAGTAAATTATCATTCTATCAGTCTACTCCCTCAGTTAGAAAAGCAGTAGATGTCATTGACAGTATGGACTATTTACTTATCCATAACCTGCTCAGTGGTGGCCAGTTGGGTTCCATTAGGATCACAACTACAGACATGAGGCGTTGGACAAGAGCTGAATTCCAGATATGAAGTGCAAGAGATTGCCCTCAACACGATGGCAGCATTTGACAGTGTGACATCAAAGAATCCTAGTAAAACTGAAATCAACAGCCATCTCAAGAAAACTCACCAGTCGCGAGCACAAAAGGAAGCTGGAAACAAATCATCTCAGTCCTACAAAATCACTCCAGGAGGTACTCAGAGCAGCAAAAAGGCCCAACCAATGTCAACTGTTCATCGATGATTTTCCCTCCATTAAAATCCAAGTGGAGCTATTCACTGATGATTACAATGTTTAGTTCCATTCACAACATCACAGATAATGCAGCAAGACCTAGATAATGTTCAGGTTTGGGATAATTACATTGGTGACACACAAGGGCCAATGGCCATCCCAACAAAAGTGAATCTAAACATCATTTCTTGACAAATCAATGACATTGCCATAATTCATTCTCTTACCAGCATCATCCTGAAGGTTAAATAAGCCACATAAAAATTATTTCGAACAGCAAATCAGAGACCAGGCATTCGTGGCACTCATTTTCTGACTTCCCAGAGCCTGTCCATCATCTACAAATCACACATCATGAATAAAATAGAAAACTCCCCCCATTTACCAGGATGAGTGCAGCTCTATTAACATGGAAGGTAGCCAATACCATCCAAGGCAAAACAGACCTCCTAACTGGTACCCATGCGCAGTGTTAATAGAGTCATAGAGCTGTACAGCATGGAAACAGACCCTTCGGTCCAACTTGTCCATGCCGATCAGATATCCTAAATTAATCTGGTCCCATTTGCCAGCATTTGGCCCATATCCCTCTAAACCCTTCCTATTCATATACCCATCCAGATGCCTTTTAAATGTTGTAATTGTACCAGCTTCCACCACTTCCTCTGGCAGCTCATTCCATACACACACCATACTCTGTGTGAAAAACTTGCCCCTCAGATCCCTTTTAAATCTTTCCCCTCTCACCTTATACCTATGCTCTCTAGTTTTGGACTCCCTACCCTGGGAACTTGACTGTTCACCCTATCCATGCCCCTCATCATCTTATAAACCTCTAAGGTCACCCCCTCAGCCTCCAACGCTCCAGGGAAAATAGCCCCAGGTTAAGTATTCATTCCCTCAACCACTGGAGTACCACGTGTAGTAACAACTCTTAATTTATCTATATCACTGGGTGTTACCAATGAGTGGAAACAGAACTAGGCTGGTGATAAAAAACATACTACCAATAAAAGCAGGTCAGGGCAAGGCATTCTGCATTGAGTAACTCACCTCCTGACTCCTCAAAGTCTGTCCACCATCAACAAGGCAGAAGTCAGTACTGTGATAGAATTTTCTCAATTGCTTGGATGAGAGCAGCTCCAATAACATTTAAGCAGGTTGCCAGCATCCACGACAAAACAGTTTTCTTGATTGGCTTCACAACCATAAACATTCACTTGCTCCACCACCAATGCTCAGGAGCAGCAGTGTGTACCATCTACCACAAGCATACAGAAATTTACCAAGGCTCCTCAGGCACCAACCTAAGCTGTGACTACTATCATTTAGAAAGCCAAGGGCATCAGATACACGGAATCATAACCCCTTGCAAGATTCCCTCCAAACGATTCACTATTCTGACTTGGAGATATATTGCTGTTCCTTCAATGTCACTGGGTCAAATCCTGGGCCCTCCTTTCAAAAGACTTTGTGGAACAAACACAGATTGCTGATGAAATTCAGTAGGTCTGGCAGCATCTATGTGGAGAAACAGAATTAATGTTTTGAGTCTGGTCTGGCTGTTCTTCAGAACTGAAAGGTGTTGGAAAATAGTTTTTTTTTATATTTTTGACTGAGACAAAAGGAACCTACTTTCCAAAATTTTCCAGTTCTGAAGAGAAGTCATACAGGTCTTGAAACATTAATTCTATTTCTCTTTACAGATGATGCCAGACTTCAGTTTCACCACCATTCTGTATTTGTTGCGTATTTCCAACATCCATAGTAATATGCTTTTATTGGCATGGTGGGTCTACCTACACCACATGGATTACAGTAGTTCAAGAATGTAGTTCATTCTCATCTTCTCAAGGGCAACTAGACATGGGTAATAAATACTGGCCCAGCCACCAACACTCTCATCCCACGAATGAATAAAGAAATGCACTCCAGGAACTTGCATGGTTTTCTTCAGCAGCACCTTCCGAACCTTTGTTCTTCCTACTACTAGAGATCGAAGGCCATAGGGAACGCCATTATTTGCAAGTCATGCATTATGTTGACTCAGAAATAAATGGCCAAGCCTTCGTTGTTGCTGGGTCAAAATACTGGCAGACTATAATATACAAGGACATACAGATCATACAGTGTTTAGACAGAGTGAGGTAGACAGGGTTACAGCTACACAGAAGGTGCACAAAAGCAAGATCAACATTAGATTTTAAATTATTATTTGTGATCAACAGGGCTAGGGGCCAAGATAGTCTGGTTACATTCTGTTTCCTGGAGTCAGAACGTACAATACCACAGGAAATTTCATGTCCACAGTAAGCTGGATCTAATAACGCCTATTAGAAGGTAGATTTTGGCCTAAAATGGGAATTAAGATAGAGGTCGTCAGATTTCTGGGACAAAAACCAGTCAAAAAGGAAGTAAAGAAAGTGAATATTTCATGATTTTGTTATTTGCCACTATCACAAAAAAAATTATACTGGAATTTCTATTATTGTTCAGTCATGAGAATTAAGTCGTGGCCAAGCGGTTAAGGTGATGGACTTGAAATCCTTTGGGCTGTCCCTGCGTAGATTCGAATCTTGCCGACAATGGTTGAGAGCTTAAGGCAAATAAAAAGGGAATTTGCTCCCCCTCTTCTTGTTGGGTTGGCATGGTAGCTCAGTGGTTAGCACTGCTGCCACATGGTGCTAGGGACCTGGGTTCAATTCCGAGATAGTAGGAACTGCCGATGCTGCAGAATCTGAGATAACAAGGTGTAGAGCTAGATGAACACAGCAGGCCAAGACATATCAGCGAAGCAGGAAAGCTGACGTTTTGGGTCTGGACTCTTCTTCAGAAATGGGGGAGGGGAAGGGGATTCTGAAACAAATAGACAGAGGGGGAGACAGATGGAAGATGGATAAAGGAGCAGATAGGTGGAGAGGAGACGGACAGGTCAAGGCGGCGGGGATGGAGCCAGTAAAGGTGAGTGTAGGTGGGGAGTTAGGGTGGGGGTTGGTCAGTCAAGGGAAGACGGACAGGTCAAGGAGGCGAGGATGAGGCTAGTAGGTAGGAGGTGGGGATGGGGTTTGAGGTGGGAGGAGTGGATAGGTGGGAGAAAGGACGGACAGGTTAGGGAGGTGGGGATGAGCTGGGCTGGTTTTGGGATGCGGGTGGGGGCGGGGAGATTTTGAAGCTTGTGAAGTCCACATTGATACCACTGGGCTGCAGCATTCCCAAGCGAATACCTATCAGCCTCATCCCCGCCTCCTTGACCTGTCCATCTTCCCTGGACTGACCAACCCTCACCCTAACTCCCCACCTTCACTCACCTTTACTGGCTCCATCCCCGCCTCCTTGACCTGTCCGTATCCTCCACCTATCTGCTCCTTTATCCATCTTCCATCCGCCTCCTCCTCTCTCTATTTATTTCAGAATCCCCCTCTCCCCCATTTCTAAAGAAGGGTCTAGACCCGAAACGACAGCTTTCCTGCTCCTCTGATGCTGCTTGGCCTGCTGTGTTAATCCAGCTCTACACCTTGTTATCTTGGGTTCAATTCCAGCCTTGGGTGACTGGCAGTGTAGAGTTTGCAAACTCTCCTTGTGTCTGTGTGGGTTTTAGGGCGGCACGGTGGCTCAGTGGTTAGCACTGCTGCCTCACAGCGCCAGGGAGCCGGGTTCAGTTCCACCCTCTGGCGACTGTCTAGGTGGAGTTTGCACATTCTCTCCGTGTCTGTGTGGGTTTCCTCCGGGTGCTCCGGTTCCCTCCCACAATCCAAAGATGTGCAGGCTAGGTGGATTGGCCATGTTAAATCGCTCAGTGTTCAGGGATGTGTAGATTAGGTGAGTTATAAGGGGTGTGTCTGGGTGGGATGCTCTCTGAGAGTCGGTGTGGACTTGTTGGGCCAAAGGGCCTGTTTCCACACTGTAGGGATACTATGATCTAAACTCATTTATAACTGGTTTTACTTTGCCAGAGCACTCAGCACCTACATTTAGTCACAGACCGGAGAAGCTTAAGACATAAACTCATATGACAAGAGAGAGATGCCTTATTAAATCCTTTGTTTTACACTATTCTGTAAGTAGATGGACTGACAACTGTTTAATGACAGTTTCATGTCGTCGTGTACACAGTTCATTGCTGGACAGCTAAGACTGGAATGCCTGACTCTGGCTACTCATTACACTGGACAAGCAACTTCCATTCAACAATTATTAGAGAAAGCCAAGCCAATACCTTTTTCCCAGAGCTCAAAGAGGCTTTTAAAACATCAACCACATGTGGGTCATTGATCAGTGTTAAAACATCTAGACAGATAATGAAATTATACATGACGAACAGGGATGAAATGAATTTACACCAATAGTGTAATATGGGCACATGCCAAATCAGAAGCCTGTTTTACACCACAACTCATGTTTCATTGAAGGTCTCCAGTAAGTCCGTTTCGCAGTCCTGACATAAATAGATTTCACCCCAACCTCAGGATTAAAGGCTTAACATACGTATATAATATATTTAATGTATCCTATATTACCTCAATTTAACATCAATGGTAAGATTGAATGACAGCTACATACCCTTTATTCTTTGTTATTTGTAGACAATTGCCTTTTCAAAATCGCAGATGCTAGTTGTACAATTGTGTTTAGAGCCAAGCCACTCAGAAACCCCTTATTATTCGATTTCACTTCCTTCAGTGCTTGAATGATATCATTCCTAAATACAATTCAGGACACAAATTACGTCAATGAAATAACGTGAAAACATGCCGTTAAACTATATTCTCAGATGCATGCATTGCTGAAATTATGTATTATATTCCACCCTATAAAGTAGGTTATATTTTGTTTCCCTTAAATGTTCAGGTACTAAGGTCAATGTGTGGTTGAGGTATTCAAATCAGAAGGTTAAAGGCCAACTTGTGCTGAGTTAGCTCACTTCAGCTACAACATAGGAATACCCTCATTTTAGAAGAGGGGAAATAAAGTGAGGAATCCCACTTCTGGACACCATACTATGATTCACCTGGGCATCAGACAAGAACTGAACTAAGTGTAGCAGTGATAACACCATAGTTAAACAGCCTGACCAAACCATGCCTTTTAGATCAACAACTTCTCAGGTGAATCTAAGTACACTGTCAGTACTGTACAATGGAACCGCTGAAAACTAGTAATTTCAAAAAGGAGTTGGGGGATTTTGGCAAGTTATATCTATCATTTTAAAATTAAAACATGTGCTAAGAACATTTAGAACCCAGTTTTTCTGCATGGATATATTAACTATAAAGCAGGATACCAAATGACTTCTGACAACTCAGGCTATCACATATCTATACAAATTAAGCATACTTCAATAATGAAATAACATGTTAGAAGTACCACTTAAAAGTACAACTGAAGATAAATTTTTATGAAATAATATGAGCTCTGCAAAGGAAAGGCATTTCAGAACAGCAAGTTTTGTAAGTATTTACGAATGCACTGCAGAGAACTTACTCCTGATTAGATATTTAATTACAAAATCTATTCATTTCTGACCTGTTTGCTTCAGGATGCATTTCCAAGAGGGTCTTCATTAGTTTGTTAAAGCTACTTAAATTAGCAGAGTTTGGAGGAATGAATGTCCCTGTTGCTGTTGGAATGTCCTGTACACACTGCATCTGTTTGTATTTCCTTCTGTTAATCTGGTAACACATGTGAAAACTAGATTAGCTAAGTAATGTGCTATTGTCACAATGACATAAACTGAGGTAATATTTTTCTTTAAAAAGGGCACTTTTGGCATGTCTAGCAATCCTGGATGAACTAAGGATATTCAACATTTTAAGATATGCGATATATCAAGGGGTTAAAACACAATACAAAAAAGCAACATATAGTACCTGATATATTAAGGACTAGAGATCTACAGCACAGAAAAAGGCCCTTCACCTATCACGTCAGTGTCAGTCTAAAACAGCCACTAGCTTTCCAATCCCATTTTCCAGCCTTGGCATCACAAGCGAGAGTGTTTTGCCTCTACCACACAGGCAGTGAGTTCCAGATTCCTACCACCCTCTGGATGAAAGGGTTTTTCCTCACATCTCCTCTAAACCTTCTGCCCCTTACCTTAAGTCTATGTCCATGGTCACTGATCCCTCAATCAAGGGGAAATGTTTCTTTCTGTCTACCTTCTCTCATAATTTCATACATCTCCATCATGTCCCCTCTTAATCTCCTTTGCTCTAAGGAAAACTATCCAGAAAATAACAAACTCTTCATCCCAGGCAACATCCTGGTAAATCCCTCTGTTCCCCCTCCAGCGTTAACACGTCTCTCTTATAATATGGATTCCAGACTGCATACAATACTCTAGCTGTAGCCTAACCAACGTTTTTACAGTGCCAGCGTAAACGTCTGCTCTTAAACTCTATGCCTCAGCTAATAAAGGCAAGTATCCTTTATGCCTTCTTTATCATTTTACCCACCTGTGCTGATATCTTAAGGAACTAATGTACATTGGTCCCTTTGATCTTGGTGCTTTCCAGGATCTACTGTGTATCGTATATTCCCTTGGCTTGTGTGTACTGCCCAGCTACATTACCTGACATTTAGGGATTTGCCACCGATCAGCTCATCTATATCCTCTTGTAATCTAAGGCTATCCTCCTCACAATTTATTCATCCCAACAATTTTTGTATCATTTGTGAACTTACTGATCAACTCTCCTACATTCAAGTCTAAATTATTTATATAAACCACGAATAGCAAGATCCCCAGGACTGACCCTGGGGGACCCCAATGGCCACTCATTCCAATTGGTAAAACATCCCTCAACCATCACCCTCTGCTTCCTACCACTCAGCCAACTGTGGATCCAATCTGACGAATTTCCTTGGATTCCACGGGCTCTTACCTTGCTAATAGTCTCCCATGTGGAACCTTATCAAAGCTTTGCTGAAGTCTAAGCAGACTACATCAAAAGCAATTCCCTCATCACACCTGGTCACCTCCTTGAAAAGTTCAATCAGGTTGATCGGATATGACCACCCTTAACAAAACCATGCTGACTGTTCTTGATTAATCCCGGTCTTTCCAAATTCAAATTAATTCCGTCTCTCAGAAGGCGTTGTCTAAAGGTGCAGTGGTGAATTTCTGCAATGCATCTTGTATACAATGCATATTGCTGCTACTGTTTGATGGTGATGGAGAGAGTGAATGATTGTGGATATGATGACAATGAAGTGGGCTTTGTCCTGGATGGTTTCGAGCATCCTACATATTGCTGGAACTACCCTCGTCCTGGCAAATGGGGAGTATTCCATTATACTCCTGACTTGTGCCTTACATATGGACAAATTTTGGTGAATCAGGAGGAGATTACTTGCTGCAGAATTCCCTGCCTCTGACCTGCTCCTTCTTGTGGCCAGTGTATTTAGCCTGTCTGGTTGTTATAAAGTGGAGGTGACTCAAAAACATAAGAACATAAGAACTAGGAGCAGGAGTAGGCCATCTGGCCCCTCGAGCCTGCCCCGCCATTTAATAAGATCATGGCTGATCTTTTTGAGACTCAGCCCCACTTACCTGCCCACTCACCATAACCCTTAATTCCTTTTACTGTTCAAAAATTTATCTAGCCTTGCCTTAAAAACATTCAGCGAGGTAGTTTCAACCACTTCACTGGGCAGGGAATTCCACAGATTCACAACCCTTTGGGTGAAGAAGTTCCTCCTGACCTCAGTCCTACATCTGTTTCCCTTTATTTTGAGGCGATGCCCTCTAGTCCTAGTTTCACCTACTAGCGGAAACAACCTCCAGCTTATCTATTCCCTTCATAATCTGATATGTTTCTATAAGACCTCCCCTCATTCTTCTGAATTCCAATGAATATAATCCCAGTCTACTCAGTCTCTCCTCATAATCCAACCCTCTCAACTCTGGAATCAACCGAGTGAATCTCCTCTGCACCCCCTCCAGTGCTAGTATATCTCTTCTCAAGTAAGGAGACCAAAACTGCACACAGTACTCCAGGTGTGGCCTCACCAGGACCCTATACAGCTGCAGCATAGCCTCCCTGTTTTTAAACTCCATCCCTCTAGCAATGGCAGACAAAATTCCATTTGCCTTTTTAATTATCTGTTGCACCTGCAATCCTACTTTTAGCGATTCATGCACAAGGACACCCAAGTCCCTCTGCATAGCATCATGCTGCAATTTTTTACCATTTAAAACATTGTCCATTTCCTGTTATTCCTACTAAAATGGATGACCTCACACTTATCAACATTGTACTCCATCTGCCAGACCTTTGCCCACTCACTTAGACTATCTATATCCCTCTGCAGACTTTCAGTGTCTTCTGCACACTTTGCTCTACCACTCACCTTCGTGTCATCTGCAAATTTTGACACACCACACTTAGTCCCCAACGCCAAATCATCTACGTAAATTGTAAACAATTGCGGTCCCAACACTGATCCCTGAAGCACACCACTAGCCACTGACCGCCAACCAGAAAAACACCCATTTACCCCTACTCTTTGCTTTCTACTGGTCAACCAATCCTCTATCCATGCCAATACATTACCTGTAATACCGTGGAACTTTATCTTATGTAGCAGCCTTTGGTGTGGCACCTTGTCAAATGCCTTCTGGAAATCCAGATACACCACATCCACAGGTTCCCCATTGTCCACCATGCAAGTATTGTCCTCAAAGAATTCCATGACCTACCCTTCATGAACCCATGCTGGGTGTTTCCAATGGGTCAATTTATATCCAGATGTCTTGCTATTTCTTCCTTAATGATAGATTCAAGCATTTTCCCCACTACCGAAGTTAAGCAAACTGGCCTATAGTTACCTACTTTTTGTCTACTTCCTTATTTAAACAGTGGCGTCACATTGGCTGTTTTCCAATCTGCGGGAACCACCTCAGAGTCCAATGAATTTTGGTAAATAATTACTAGTGCATTTGCTATTTCCCCCATCACCTCTTTTAGTACCCAGGGATGCATTTCATCAGGGCCAGGAGACTTGTCTACCTTTAGCCCCATTAGCTTGCCCAGCAGTGCCTCCTTACTGATAATGATAGTTTCTAGGTCCTCGCCTGCTATAACCTTCTTGCCATTAGTTTTCGGCATGTTATTGGTGTCTTCCACTGTGAAGACCGACACGAAATAACTGTTTCATGTCTCGGCTATTTCCTCATTCCCAGTTATTTAAATTGGCCTTCTCATCCTCTAAAGGACCAATGTTTATCTTCGCCACTCTTTTACGATTTACATATTTATAGAAACTTTTGCTGCATGTTTTTATATTCTGAGCTAGTTTACTCTCATAATCTATCTTACTTTTCTTTATAACTTTTTTTGTGGCTTTCTGTTGGCCTTTAAAGATTTCCCAGTCTACTAGTTTCCCACTACTCTTTGCTTTTTTGTATGTTTTTTTTTCAATCTGATACTTTCCCTTATTTCCTTAGACATCCATGGCTGGATCTCTCTTTTCCTACAGTTCTTATCACCAGAATATACTTCTGCTGAGCACTGTGAAAAATCGTTTTGAAAGTCCTCCACTGTTCCTCAATTGACCCACCATAAAGTTTTTGCTCCCATTCTACCTTAGCTAACTCCTCCCTTATTCCTTCATAGTCTCCTTTGTTTAAGCACAGGACATTGGTACTGGATTTAACCTTCTCACACTCCATCTGTATTTTAAATTCGATCATACTGTGATTGCTCCTTCCGAGAGGATCCCTAACTGTGAGATCATTATTTATTCCTGTCTCATTACACAGGACTAGATCTAGGATAGCTTGCTCCCTCGTAGGTTCCATTACATATTGTTCAAGGAAATTATCGCGGATGCATTCTATGAACCCCTCCTCAAGGCTGCCATGACCGACCAATTGGTTTGACTAATCGATATGTAGATTAAAATCCCCCATGATAATTGCTGTACCATTTTTACATGCATTAGCTATTTCTATGTTTATTGCCTGCCCCACCACGATGTCATTATTTGGTGGCCTAAAGACCACACCTATCAGTGACTTCTTCTCCCTGCTATTCCTAATTTCCACCCAAATGGATTCAACGTTTTGTTCAGTAGAACCTATATCATCTCTCTCTACCGCCGATATCATCCTTAAAAATCAGAGCAACACCACCTCCCTTACCTTCCTGTCTGTCCTTCCGAACAGTTTGATACCCCTGGATATTTAACTCCCAGTCATGACCATCCTGTAACCGCGTCTCTGTAATGGCCACTAAATCATACCCATTTGCCACGATTTGCGCTATCAACTCATCCACTTTGTTTCGAATGCTCCGAGCATTCAGATAAAGTGCCCTTACGCCAGTTTTTGCACCTTCTTTTTGTGTCCAATTACCTCCATTACTAACAGCTCTTGAGTTCTCCTTCCCTTTAACTTTTTTCCTAATTTTCAATGGAGTTGAAGCTTCCTTGTCACCTGCTAACCTGCTGCTTTGCCTTACATTAATTGTTATTCTCCCTCTACGCTCACTTCTCCCTTCCCCCCTACTTAATAGTTTAAAATCCTATTAACCACCCTATTTATCCTTTTCGCCAGAACAATGGACCCGGCCCTGTCCAGGTGGAGTCCATCCCAGCGGTATAGATCCCTTCTGTCTCAGAACTGATCCCAGTGCCCCATGAAAAGGAAACCCTCTTTCCCACACCACTCTTTTAGCCACGTGTTTACTTCCCTGATCCTCGCCTCCCTATGCCAATTTGCACGTGGCTCGGGCAGCAATCCAGAGATTATGACCCTTGAAGACTTGTTTTTTAATTTTGTTCCTCGCTTTTCATAATCCCGAAACAGGTCTTTTTTCCTAGTCCTGCCTATGTTGTTGGTACCTACGTGGACCACAACAACTGGATCCTCCCCCTCCCTCTCTAGTATCCTCTCAAGGCGGTCAGAGGTGTCTCGCACCCTGGCACCGGGCAGGCAACACACCATGCGGGATTCTCTATCCTGCTCGCAAAGGATACTGTCTATCCCCCTGATGTTGGTATCTCCTACAACTACAATCTGTCTTTTTGCTCCCCCCTCTTGAATGGCCTCCTGGACCATGGTGCCATGGTCAGTTGACTCATCCTTCCTGCAGCCCTGTTCCTCATCCACGCAGGGAGCAAGTGCCTCATACGTGTGGGACAATGTCAAGGGCTGCGGCTCCTGTGTTCCTGTCTGCAGCGTCCCTCTACCTGCCTCACTCGCAGTCACACACTGCTGTCCCTGCCCGCTGATCGAATTAACATTAGTTAATCTACCTGGTGTGACTGCCTCCTGGAACACAGCATCCAGGTATTTCTCCCCCTCCCAGATGTGCTGCAGTGTTTGGAGTTCAGATTCCAGCTCATCAGTTTTCAGCCGGAGCTCCTCAAGCAGCCAACATTTGCTGCAGATGTGGTCACTGCCGTTCTCAATGGGATCAGCTCGCTCCCACATCATACAACTACAACACATCACCTGGCCTGCCATCTCTACTTAGTTAATTATTTAAAATTAATTAGTTTTTTTTTAGTTTTGCAGTGTTTTCTGCACCAGTAAGTTTACTCCGTTATATACTCAAACAGACTCCGGCTTTGCCTTCCGACCCGCTCCCAGAGGATTTGGCGTCTGGGTGACCACCCCGAAAGATAGTAGAGATAAGGAAATAAAATGCAAATAGCTTTCCTGCTCACCACACTTAGTCGTTATTATTAGGTTAGAGGAGGTGGAAGGGTGGGAGACACTACGCGTGTAGTGTCTCCGGTATTAGTTAACTCCCAAATTTATTGGGAGGAAGCTTACCTTCCCAGGCTGCCCTCGCGTTTTCTCCCAGACTCCCGCCGCTGAAACAACTGACTCCCCCTCTATTAACTAAAACTGAAAGACCCAGAGAGGCGCACCTCATCCTATAATCTGTTAAAAGAGCCCCAATCTGTTAAAAAGGAGAGGTTAAATAAAAATAAATCCCTGACACTCTCCGTATAATTAACAGGTAACGAACATCTCTTGGATATGACCTAAATGGTTAGTAAAGTAGCTTTCCATTTATCTGTTAAAAAAAGAACATTTCTTCAGAGCGTTCTGAAGACTGGGCCTTTGGTGGATCTTTTATGTAGTTTGAAGTCACAATCTGATAGTCCATCTTGCCTTAGTATTCAAGCTTAAAATTAGTTCCCTAGAAGCCTCTCATTATTTAAACAGGATAACGAAATTAAAAATATGTTGTCCAGTAGCATTCTTTCCAACATTCACATGCCCTTCGTAATGAAACAGTGTACATGCATAGATATAAAACTGAATTCACTTAATCTTTCCAAGATGATTATTACCAAATAGATATTCATAGCAAGAAATTTCTGCTTTCAATACCTTATGAGAGGCTGTATTAAGAACTCGAGTTGATAATGGAGGAGTACAAGGCTCCCACTGATTCTGTCCTTTGAAGTTAGTGTCCTTTGTAGCATGGTCTTTTAGTGTGTGCACATTTAATGAAGGTTGCGAATGATTTTTAAGCACAGATAACACGTGATCGCCCGAGATTTTTGCCAGATGGACTTTAATGGGCTTCCCATGGTACTCTTTTCCATTCATTTCATCCACTGCCAACTTGGCATAATTGGAAGTTGTAACTCTCAGAACTCCGCACCTAGCAAAGCAGAAATACAACGTGTAAATTGGGAAATGATTTGAATAAAACAAAATCGTTAGACACAAAAGGACACAAGTAAAATATATTCAAAGGGCCTTAGTTACATCAGCTTTTACACCTTGCGCACTCAAAACATATGTGTCCATTAAGTTGCTGAAACTTTGGGTTTAAAATAGGACAAGCAAGGAAAATGAGACATTTGGGAACCGAGTGAACCAACAAAGTGGAAAACTGATAGGGAAATGGCTGATAATTTAAATCAATATTTTGCATCATATTGGAAGATACTATATACATTCCAGTGATAATAGATAAGCAAGGTGCCAATGGGAGGGAAGATCTTGAAAAAGTCTCTGCCACGACTAATAAATTATTTTACAAACTAATAGGATGAAAGGCAGACAAACTGCCATGACCTGACGGTCTTGTTTTTAAAGGAATTAGCTGCAGGAATAATAGGAGGTATTAGTCAAAACATTCTAGACCTAATTGGATACCATGAAAGTTCCACTGGATTGGAAAACAGGAAATGCGATGCCTCTGTTCAGTAAGAGAAGAACAGGAAGCAGAAACCTGCAGGCCTGTTAGCCTAACATCTGTGATAGGAAAAGTGTTGGAGTCTTACTTAGGAAAAAATAGCAGGACATTTAGCAAAGCTTGATGCAATTGAACATAATCAGCATGTTAAGGGAATTCTTGTTTGACAAAGTGCTAGAGCTCTATGAGGATACGACAAGCAGAATGATAAAGAGGAACGTTAGATGTATTGTGTTTGGATTTCCAGAAGGCATTGGATAAGCTGCCACAAGGTAGGAGCGCATGGTATTGGAGATAATGAAACAGTATGGATTGAGGACTGGTTAATACACAGAAGGCAGAATTTGGATACAGGGTCTTTTTCAGGTTGGAGAGAATGGAGTACCACAAAGATCAGTCCTAGGGCTTACTATCTATATTAATGTCTTGGAGGCAAGGGTACAATATTAAAATTTGCTGGTGATATAAAATAAGCGGGAGAGCATGTTGCGATGAGGACATAAGAGGATAAAAATAAAGATGAGTGAGTGGGCAAAATCTTGGCAGTTAGAGCTTAATGTAGAGAACTGTACGGTCATGCAGTTTGGTAAGAACAGTCAAAAGGCAGACTATTACATACATGGAGAAAGATTGCAAAAAAGTGCAGCATAAAGGGATTTGGATGATCTTGTGCATGAAACATAAAAGGCTACTGTGCAGGTACAACAAGTAATTAAGAAAGTAAAAGGAATTTATTACTAGGGCATTTATGTTTAATAATAATGAAGCCTTGTTACAACTGTACAATGTGTTAGTGAGGTCACAACTGGAGTATTCTGTATAGTTTTGATTCTGCATTTAAAAAGGGATTTACGAGCATTGGAAGTTGTTCAAAGGGTTGTTCATACTGGACTGATTCCTGGGATGGAACAGTGGAGTTTTCAAGAATGGCTAAACACATTATGTCTTTATTCATTAGGAGTTTGGAAGAATGATCTTATTGTAATATTCAAGATTCTGAGCTCGTTTGACTGGGTGGATGTTGAGAAGATGTTTCCATTATGTAGGGAGTCTTAAAATAATGGCAGATTAAGGGGGACCCTCATTTAAAATCGAGATATAAAGTTATTTCTTCTCCCAGAAGGTAGTGAATGTCTGAAATTCTTTAACCTAAACAGCTGTGGAGGCTATATCACAAAGTTTTTAAAGAGGACGTAGACAGATTTTGAAACATCAGGGAGTTGATGACTATGCCGAGCTAGCCCGAAAGAGTAGTTGAGGCCTGGCACAGATAAGCCATGACCTTGTTGAATAGTTTGGCAGGCTTATCATATTTGACCTGGATTCGCATCCAATTACATAGCTCGCCATCACCAAGACCATCTCTGTAACATCTCCTGTTTTGGCACTTAACTCAGCTTATGTGCTCCTGAAACCCTCATACATCCCATGGTACACCTTCTACAACTTCAGGCCAATCAAATCTCTGCTACTGTTTCCTAACTTTCAGCAACTCCTCTTCATTCATCACCTACATGCTCACTGCTCCACTGTGACTGTTTTGTTGAATGTTTGGGGTCTAACTCTATTTAGCCTCTCAAAGTAGCAATCTTAGATTCCACAAAACCTAAAGGCAAGAAGTCTATATTTACAGCTTGATTGATATACACATTCTGTTCATGCTAGGTTAGAACTGCTGTATTTTCCAATGCAACGCTGATATTATCACTGCATCATCACATGTATGCTTGATATGAATCCTATTACTCTACCTTTCATCACAGCTCTTCATTTCCCCCCCTTAAGTACACATTGTTGCCATTCTTCTTCCTCAACACCCCCCACTTCACTCACATTTGCACTGTGGCCCTGTTTGATTCTTGACCTTCAATGCTCTACCTATCATTTTTCTTATTATGATGTTTGTTTTTTGCCCTCGTTTCCCTCTCTTTTGTCTTCCTGTATAGGTTCCATCTCCCTGCCCTTCTGGTTTAAACCTCCCGAACTACTCTTAAAAAATTCCCACCTCCAGGACATCAATTTCAGTCCTGTCAGGTGTAACTTATTCAGTCTGTATTGGTCCCACCTCACCCAGAACTGTTTCCAATGTTCCAGGAATCTGAAACCATGGCCCTTCCACCATCTCTTTAGCTGTGTATTCATCTGATATATCTGCTATTTCTACTCTGACTAGCATATGGCACTGGTAGTAATCCTGAGATCACTACCTTTGAGGTTCTTTCAACTTACTACCTAACTCCCTAAATTCTGCTTTCATGACCGCATCCTTTTTGTTTAAAACCGATGTTATCGGTACCGATTCATACAACAATCAATGACTGCTCACCCTCCCTTTCCAGAATGTCCTGTAGCCGCTGAGATATCCTTGACCCCAGCACCAGGAGGCAACAAATCATCTTGCAGTCTTGTTTGCGGCCAACACTCATTTTATTTTTCCCTTCTTAATCAATCCCTAGGTCCTCCTTTGGTGACTTCTAAATTGTTCCCAATTTTCAGATCTATTGTTTTTACTTGCCAATTTGTATGCTTCTTTTTGCATCTAATTAGTTTTTTTCAAGATTTGAAATGTTAACTTTGTTTCTCTCTCCCAAGATTCTGTCAGACATGCTGAAGGAGATTGGAAGTGGATGGAAATTGCTCAGGCCGCCTTCCAAGAAAGCAGACAGTCTTCAGCCCATTCTGATGGGAGAACAAACACGTAGAGGGACTGCAAATCCATGGTAATGCTGTGATATCTGGGGTTAGGAAACTGGAAGTTGTAGAACTAACGCAAAGCATCAGAAAAAACATTAATGTAAGAGGGAAGAGACTGGATGAGGGGTGGAAAGATATTGTGACAGGATAGGAGAAATACATTCCGCATACACTCAGAAACAGGCTGAAACAATGAGTCTGCCAGGACAGTTCTGTTTGTGGGTTTTGGGAAGAAGGTAGAAATGGCTACGCAGAGTTGTGGTACTATGAAGTTGAAAGCTGCAGAGGAGATGTATTCAAAGAGAAGATATTCAGAGAAGAACAGGTCAGTGATAGTGATGAAAGCAATAATTTGATAGTTCATGATGGAATCATGGTCCATACAGAGATAGCGTTTGAGAGCTGGTATTCAGCCTCTTCAAGGTAGAGGTTGGCATGCTAGACAACAATCTTTGTTAGCAGTTTTGATAACAAAGTCAAGAGTTATGCAAAGTCAGGATATTTTTCCTTTCCTGTATTTTTAAATTGCAAGCTGAAATGGAAAAAGAACTTTTAAAACCTGAGGATTACTGAACTTCTTAAAAGCAAATAACCTGACATTCAGTTGTGGCTCTACCAGGAACCCCATCACACAAATTAGCAAAGGAACTACAACAAAAGCTTAAAAATCTAATCAGAGTTCAAGACACTCCATACAATCAACACAAGAATTCCTGGGCAAATCAAGAACACTAAAATAGACAAAGAAGAAGTGATAA